TTTTTTGCAGTCAATTGCATGTTCTTGTGGGAACAATGCGCTAATTTGCTGGAGATTGGAGCCTGACCAATGAATTCTATCTAATAATTTACTCGTTTCTTTGTTGTTTACTTTGTTTCTGGAACTTTGTTAGCCACTGGGCTATAGAGGCAAATAGGACTTTGTTTTTTCCTTTCCTTAGGACTTAAAGTTTGGAAGAGAAAGATATATTTAAAATTTAAAACTTTACCACTTTGGCTGAGGTATTGTCTTGGAAAACGCACATTCGTGGTCCAAATCCAGAAAAACCTGTTTATTAGGTTTATTTTAGGGCCTAAGAATCTTACTTTTAGCAAGTTCCCTGGGTGATGTTGATGGACACGAAGAAAGGGTTATACTGAGAAATACTGTGTTCTTTGAAGCATAAGGATTTGGTAAGACTTTGTAGAGGAGATAATTCTGAAAGTGGTATATTGCTTTCTCATTTCTTAGAGTGGTAAGTGTGCCCGAGAGAGGCAGAGGGGAGAAAGGGTGGGTAGGTTAGATATTCTGGGGTAATGGAAGACTTGGGGTTGAGGCAAAGCACTTTGTAATAAAAAAAATTGTAGATATGACTTACGGCATTTTACAACAGGGAAGAGAGAATACATATCTCCATAGTTTAAAGATAAGCAAGTTCTGCTCTAACTCGCAAATAGTCAACATAAGCATACCATGTATTTTGGTTACTAAGGACCCCAGTATAGTGCAACTAAAGAGCAATTTGTATCATAAATCTCTCTTCAAATTAATAACAGCTAATTTTGCCTAAAAACTAATATTGCAAGGACATTAGTGTCTTCTTTGAATAGCCTATTTTTAAAGAGAGGCTTTTAAAGAAAATTTAAATTGCTGATTTCTATTTTAATAATTTCCCCTGGTACAAATAAAGCTTTCATAATCCCCAGTTGATGTGAATATAGAAGCGCAGGGCACCAAAGAACTAAAGGAGGTAGGAGACTGAGATATGAGACTTCAGTCTTAATTTATGCAGCATGAATTGGATATGTTGGTGGGAAAGATTCAGGTAAAATGAAGGTACTACTTATATGTTAACTAAGCAATTTGGTTATTCAAAAATATTTGATTAGCTTAGTTGGTTAGTATATTGTATCCGTGAATCATAATACTATTGCTTGGACTTTTTTCCAGGTGAATTTAGTAATTATTATTGTATATGCAAGTGCTTTTATAGAACACTTTTTGTTATGTAAGTTTCTTTTAGCTGTTTTTAAACCATAGATAGGTTAGACTTCTACCATTAGTTGTAAAGGTGCTGTGTAATACTCTTATTATAAAATACCAAAAGTACATCCTTCGCTGATTTAATAATAGTGCTATTGTATTAAGTGATAATTGCTTTTAGAATGTATCTTCCATATTTTGAGGCAGGAAAATTTCTATTTTTAAAGTGGTCATTTCTATTTCAGTAGGTATATTCTATCCTCTTATAATTCTTCAGCACGATTAAAATTCTCTTTATTATTTTTTTAAGGGTCTGAAAAGCCCTCAAGAAAGCCTCAGTGATCTTGGTGCCATAGAGAGTCTCCGGGTCCCTGGAAAGGTATTGATCTACACGTGTGAATGTGATGTTTTACCTCCTTAAGAAAATATGATTGTCTCTGGATAGTAATTGATTCACAGAAGCTTTTCTTTCCCACAGGCAGATGGTTGTTATGATAAGCTAGGTACATTTTTACAGTACAGTGGGTGTAGGGCTTGTTTCATTACACACTGGGATGTAGTATGTATGATTCATTATAGTAAAGCAGAAAATGCAAACTTGATAAATTGGGAATTTATTATATTAAATTATTAGCCGGAAAGCAGTTATATATGTATGTGTATACACACACACACACACACACACTTTTATTGATTTATCTGCTGTAATTTGTAGAAATAAAAATGAAATAATTGACTACTGACTTTTTATACTCTTAACACTCTGTGCCAAAAATCATGATTATATAGTTGTTGTTGAGCGGAGGTTTTTGAATAAGCAGCTAAACCATAGTGTTTATATTGAATTGTATAAATTATCTCCTAAATTGTAGATATTTTAGATTTTAATCCTCTGACATTCTTGTGAACTTCTCAGTTTACAAATTTTGTATAGGTTATTTGAAAGCTAGCTGGATTCTCCTCGGAATTATTAAGTATTATTAAATCCCTGCTGCTTCTCTGGAGTGTTGCTGCTTGAAGCTGCTCATGTGAATAGCCACTATATCACAGATTAACCTGGCACTTCTGAATGTCTGTTTTTGTATTTTTTAATTTGAGGGTCATATGTGAAAATACTGTTTGTTTTCTGCATCTGGCGTTTGAATACACACAGCTTGCTTCTCTTGATCAGCAGTTTAAGGCCTCTCCTTACACCTCAGTGTCAGCTCCTTAGGAGGATGATTTCTCATCTCTTTCAGGTGCCTGATCTGTTAAAGTGAATTTTGTATTTACTGCATTGCTTTTATTTTGGGTCAGACCCAAACATATTCTCCAAATGCAATAAAATTGTAACCAACCCTTTTGCATATTGTAACCAACTCTTTTGCATGAAATGGTTCAGATAAAAAACTTTATAAAAAGTGTATCATATAGTTTTATACAATGTTATTAAAGATTATTGACTATGAAAAGGTTGGGAAATAAGAGATAACCATAAATCCTAATTGACAATAATTCTCTTTATTTCTTTGACTTAAAGAAAAAGATTATTATGCATTATGAACATGCCTTGAATTAGATTTTATTACATATTGCAGAATCAATGTCAAATTGATGAGTGAGCCTCTTTAAAAAATACCGACTGTCTTAATAAGAACTTTCTGTTGGGTTTCAACCGTGAGCCTTGATGTTTTCCCAGTAGTGGTTGGTAGTGAATTTATGGTGATCTCATTACATAGTCTTCTTATTGACTCTCCACCCCTAGCTCCATCAGTGACCGGTGCTGTCTGTACTTTTAGGGTAACTGGTCTTGGGCTGGGAGGCCAGTCTGGGATCACAAGGTCAGCAAATTTAAATGGTTCAGGTGAAGAGTAAGCCTAGAGCACTGGTCTCTTTAGCACATGCTAAGAAGCCAAGTTAGTTAAATGATAAAGCAGTTAATAGTAAAAAAGGTATTAATGCTGTAAGCTTACATTTAACCTTACACTAAGAAATACCTATAAGCTTCATCTGCCTGTTTGTTCTTTCTGTGTTCTTCTATAGCAAAACAAAAGATGAGGTGAGCAGAGCTGCTGCCTTCTTTCTGGGTGGTTCTGAGAACACGAGAGTTGCTGGGTCCATAGACTGTCAAAGCTCCAGTCAGTAAACTGAGTTTGATATGGTTGAGATTTGAAGTCAGTACTGAGATTAAGAGTTAAGAAGACTCATTCAGAAATTCCCTACAAAGCATAGCTTGATGTAACTTTAATGTTGAATATTTTTCACAATTTAGATATGACTTTATGTCTATATTTTATTGACTTATTTTTATATAATTGCTTTGAAATTAATGTTGTAGGTAGTTCTTGATGACCTGAAATTTGATGCCATTGAAAAAGATCTTCACTTAAGATCTTTTTAAAATTAAGATTAAAAGTATTTTAACAAAATGCAAAATGTTAATTGAAATGATTATTTTAAAATAATCTTCGCTTTTATTATAAAATTAATGTATACTGTAAACCGAAAACACGATAAACTAAAAAGGTATCTAAAAAAAAAATCACCAAGATCACCAACACTGTAAAGGTTAACATTGCCTTCTGATCTTTTCCTTATGCATATTCAACAAATTTACTGAGTTTCTATGTGCCCAGCCTATAAATTCTTATATGGAAAACCTATTAACTTCATTTAGTGCTCTGCCTCACTCATAAGTGTAGGTACTACTTCTAAAAAACATAAGTGTAGGTACCATTTTTTAAAAACTTTCTAGGGACTGGCAGTAGCAGTGAAAAGACAAAAATTCCCTGTTGTTAGAGAGCTTACTTACATTCAAGGAGAAGGAAATAGGGTGATAAACTCTTTGAAATTGGCAGTTATTTTGCATGAAGTAGTCAGTATAGATTTTCTACCCTCCCTCCCTGACCTCTTAAAAATGTTATTATACTCTAGAAATTATTTGGAAGCTTGGGTTTTTAACATATATGTCTATATATATGTGTGTATATATATTTTATATATATATATATATATATATATGTATGTCTGTATGTGTGTGTGTGTGTGTGTGTGTGTGTGTGTGTGTATATATATATATATATAAAACATAGAAAATTCTCCCGTTATACTACTAGGTTTAAAAAACAAGGTACCCATTAGTTTTGCTTAGGGAGGTACCCTTTACACATAGCAATTTATGCTATTTAAGTAGTCACTGTAAATTCTTTTTTTTTTTTGAGACGGAGTCTCACTCTGTTGCTGGGCTAGAGTGCAGTGGCCCAATCTTGGCTCACTGCAGCCTCTGCCTGCCAGGTTCAAGTGATTCTCCTGCCTCACCCTCTCAACTAGCTAGGACTACAGGTGCACACTACCTTGCCCACCTAATTTTTGTACTTTTTTAGTAGAGATGGGGGTTTCACCATGTTGGCCAGGATGGTCTCAATCTCTTGACCTTGTGATCTGCCCTCCTTGGCTTCCCAAAGTGCTGGGATTACAGGCATGAGTCACTGCACCCAACCTGTAAATTCTTATATGAAAAACTTATTAACTTCATTTAATAGCTCTGCCTCACTCATAAGTGTAGGTACAATTTTTAAAAAACATATCCCTGGTCTTCAGGAATGGGCTCCTTTCTTTTTCCTTTTCTTTTCGTAATGTCTTTTTGGGTTGGGACAGAGAATTAGGATTTCAGTGGCATTTTCAAGAAAGAAATAGGTTAGTTGGGGTTCTGTTACATGAAAAGGTTTTAGTATAAAGGATAAGTAGGAGAAAAATATTAGGATGAATTGTGGCTGTTTAAGTTTAAAATGGTCAAATATTGGCAAATTTTATGTGCTTCAACTTGCTAGAAAAAGGAGGGTAGTGAGGGATAATTGAAGGGCACCAGGTGTACTTGATAAGCCAGATGGTATTGTTTATTTATTTATTTATTTTTGAGAACTATATGTATTCAAAGTGGTAAGAAGCCATCTGGTACAATTTCTGCATTTTATAAACAAACTGACCTTGCGCCCCATTTTAAGAGCAAATGCAATTCAACTGGTAATCTGTATACTGGAAATTTGGAATTTGGGCAGATAAAATAGTCTAGAAAAGTAGAAAACATTTAAGGTTCTTTTCAGAACTTGCTAGAGCATAGAAAACTTTGAGACAGATTTCAGGAATCTTAGCTTAAATGGCTCAGTGCCAAGATCAGTGGTACCCAAATTTTGCTGTACATTTAGAATCAGCGGTTCCCAGGCCATGGCCAATTCCAATTAAATCACCATTTTTGGGTGGAGACAAATGTCAGTAATATTTAGAGATTCCCCGGTGATTCCATTGTGGAGCCAGGTTTGGGAACCATTGGCCAAGATGAGAATATCATCTCAAGAATGGAGCAACAGGAAATAGAGGAACCGTTCTAGAAAATCGTTTTAAAGTTTTACTGAGAATTTTTGTAGGATAAGGCTGAATGAAACCTAAAATTTCATTCTTTGAAATGGATTCTGTTATACTTCAAATTTGTGAGATTTTCATGTAAAGATATAAGAAATTAGGTAGTATTTACTAAGTTTGTTATCCATTTAAACATGAAAGGAGTTTTACTTGGTTACAAGATTTAAGAATAAAACCAGTATTTATTATAATATATGATAATAATCAGAGCCACAAGTTATTAGTTATAGAACTTACTAGGACTGCGTTTGAGGGTATTTATTGAGCCCTGATTAAAAATAAAAATACCAGTATTCAGAACCTTATAAATCTACATCCAACCTTTATTAATACTTTCCATTGTACTTCCACAATGGCACAATATGAATCTGGAAAAGAGTATTGATACTAATATTGTTTTATGAATTTTTACTAAAGTATTGCCTTCTGATAGTATTCTTTAATGATCAGGGTTTCCTTGGCCTCGATTTCATTAACTCATAAATAGTAATGGGATTCAGCTGTGTTTACTATTACAGGCTTGGTTTACCTTTTTTTTTCATGAAAGAAAAACATAGGATGAGGTGACAAAATAAATGTCTGTTGCAGTCAACGTTTGAGAATATAATTATTTAAATATAAGAAATAATTATTTTATACTTTGTCCATTCAACAGTATTTATTGAGTACCTGCCCACTCTGTACCATTTCCACTTATATAAATTCTAGGAATTTGAGCAGAATGTTTTCTAGAGTTTCTGGCACTTCTGCGAAATCAGATAAACCAATTTGACTTGACTTCTTAACATCCATTAAAAGAATCCTAAAACCACATGCTAACTGCAGAGCTTGGTTTATAGTATTACCAAAATATGTGGACAGTGATAAGTCAAGAGACGTAAGTTTAAGTATTGACTTAAACATTCAGCTCATTGAAAGAAAGTCATTTTAATGATTTGTGCCTCATTTGTGAAAAGATACTATTGAACTAGATGATTTTTA